GTCTAAAGCCTCGACAATCAAGGATAGTATGTTTAAAAGATGAAAAAAAATCCCATATTAAAGGATGATCTTTAAAAACTACATGTACATGTGATCATTTTCTTTATTCTGGTTACCAGTCTAAAAAAAAAATTTTTTTTTCATCTTAATCAGTTTAGATAAATTTCAAGTCTAAATTGATATTCAATCAAGATCCAGTCCCTCATAACCCCATAGTTTGAGTAGAAAAATTTAATTTGGAACCATAATATCAGGAAAATGTATTGTAAGCTTAATAAAGTTTTCAAAAGATATCATATTGCTGGAAAAAGTTACCTTTACTAATAGATGCTAAATAACGACGCTAATAAAAACACCGCTTNAGTAGAAAAATTTAATTTGGAACCATAATATCAGGAAAATGTATTGTAAGCTTAATAAAGTTTTCAAAAGATATCATATTGCTGGAAAAAGTTACCTTTACTAATAGATGCTAAATAATGACGCTAATAAAAACACCGTTTGCAATGTAAATTCTTTGCAACTGATTTTAAATTGATCCAAATTTTAACAAACCGTAGAAATTTTAAGAGATATTTATTTCGTTTCCGTCTGCAGACCAGTGGAATTTGTGCTTGCGGTGATGCTGATGAAGATGCTGAACATATTCTTCTTCATTGTAGTCTGTATGCGAGTGCCCGAATGACTTTAAAGACTGATTTGAGACGTCTTTCTATTTTTTGGCGACCTGTCTTATCAGAACTGGTCAAAAGTATTGAAAGTCTTGCGGCCTTGCGGAATTTTGTTTTTAATGTAAATTTGTAAATTTTTCTCCTTTTGGTTTTCTACGTAAGCCTCATGCTATACTTTGTGGTGCATGAGGAGTTTTAAGTCGTTTAAATAAAAAAAATAAAGAAAACAAAACAAAAAAAGCCGCTTATAATTAAATAAAATTTATAAATGATTTAATAAATAATTAACTGGAAAAGAAAGCTTCATCAAATAATCGGTGAATGTTTTTATAAGCGATAATTGCATATTTATTAGAAAAGATAAACCAACAGATTTTAACCGTTAAAATTTTCATTAAATATCAATAAATATTAAAAAAACGGTTAATTTATTAAAAAAAAAAAACTGCCGCGAACAAAACACTCGATACGATGACTTTAACAGCCATATTTCGAAAGAGCTGTGGCACTTTTCCTGTATAAAATGCGTCTTTAATGATCATCCAATAAAAATTACTATATAGAAAAAGTAAGAAAAAAGAAGGCTTAAGAACAGAAAGAATTGCATCTGTGATTTACTTTCTAAATTGCGTGCCATAAAGAAGTTAACCAAAAGAGAACATCCTAATCCTTTCCGATTCTTTAGGAGAACAAATCTATGAAGATGTGATATAATGGAAAACAATTTGAACTATGAACAATCCCACACGATTATTCGCGAATAAGAAATGAAGCACGATGCTTACATTTGCTTCTAAAAAGATTATTCCTTTTCCTTGGCGAGATAAAAAAGATTAGTAATATCAAAGGGCAAACCTCCCCTTCTGTTTCTTAGAGGGGATTTTTTTTCTATCCTATAATTTTCTTCTTTATTCATCTTATTTTCACGAGTGAAGAAAGTGTTGAAAATTGCACAATGTGAACAATGGTTTATTCAAAAAGCTTTAGTTCTCAAACTTGGCGAAAACTAAATACCGTTAGAGAAACCCATGGATTGCCTAACTACAGGCAGAAGAAAAAAGAAAATGATTTGGCGAATGGTCACGATATTGAATAACTATGGTTTTATGCTTCCTTCCTTCTATAAGCGCGTTTTGTTACGCTTTAATGGGTTTAGTCGTTTTCACAAGTTAATATTTAAAATGAAAAGTGATTGCAAAAAGGTTAATGTTTTTACAAGAGGATGTAGATCTTATTATAGCTTATGGCCGAATCTCTAAGAACATAATTTAAACTGCATCTTCTTTTCACATCTTTTATAAAATCACTTTATAGTAAGAAAATATTTTTTTTTTTTAAAATTGAATTGGAACATGGAATTATTTAATAATTTAACACTTACCCACCCACAAAGCATTATTTGATTCAAATTAAGTGACAGGTATTAAAATTTTTATTTCATAATACAAGAAGACGTATTAAGAAATATTTAAAACGTAAGTAAAATTAAGGTATCCAACTGGGTGAAAATCAGCAATTTCGACGAAAATTTAAATTTTTTTTTTATTAACCATATTTGAACTTAGTTCATTAGGTATCCAAAACCCTTTAAGTTTTTTTTTCTTATTTTTAAAAATAAATTTATAGTTGTATTTCCGTAAGCTGACACACGTAACTGGAAATAACATGTGTTTTGCTATGTTTGGAGTGTTTTACCATTTTTATTTGAAGACATTATATTTTTTTAAGACAAAAAAAAATCATTTTCAAAAATTAATTTTTTAATTATTAATTATTTTGATATCAGAATTTTCTTACATTTCAGAATTTACTTGTATTTTAAATACTTTTTCTGAAGAAGGCTGATTTTGAGAAAGTTTCTATACGCTAACACACATTATAAGATAAGTTAACAATTTGGAATTCTTTGAAAATTTATATGTAGGTTTTGTATAAAGTTAGGGATGTTTTGAACAAAAATCTAAGGTTTGAATATGAATTGGTTATTTTTATCAAGTTTTTAATCAATCAGTTTGTTTTTTTATCAAGTTAATTAGAATTTTTTTTAAAAAATTGAATATCAAACAATATATTTAGTTCTACTTTATTGTTTTTCCGATTTTTTTTTGTTCAAAACGCAAGCAATCACATTATTGATGAAGAGAAAAAAATTATTCCAAAATTTAAGCATTATTTGTTGTAAAGAGTGACGAGAAAAATTCGCAGTTTTTTATCAAGTTATTTAGAATTATTCTTTACAAATTGAATATCAAACATTGTATTTAGTTCTATTTTATTGACTTTTTGACATTTTTTTTTGTTCAAAGCACAAGTAATCACATTATTGATGAAAAGGAAAAAATTATTCCAATATTTAAGCATTACAATTTGTTTTAAAGAGTGACGTAAAAAATTTGCAGTTTTTAAGCTCAAACTTGCATTTATTCAAAAACAGGTAACTTAATAAATTTTAAAACTTTTCTTTAAATTTATAAACTTATTAGCAATCCCACATACCAATATAAAATTGAAATTTTAATTAAACTGTTTTTTTTTTTCAAAAAAAGTGGTGGTTAAACGAGTCGGATACCTTAAATAATTACACTTTACTCTAACAAAATTTTAATGGAGGAATAAAATTTCTTAAAATAGAGAAAAATAAAGTTGCAAAGTCTAGCTTTTGTTGTCAAATTAAATGATCATCTGTTAGCAATGTAAGTAAAGATTCGATTTATATTCCCAAAAATATAATGAAACATCCCTATGTTAGTATTATATTTTAATTTTTTCAACTTTCGTTGCATGAAAACGTCTTCGTTTGTTAAATAGAAAATTGAAAAACAAGATTTTTTCGATCGAAAATTAATTTCTGATTTCCATTTTAATTGCTATTATAATTTATTTTTAATCCGCATTTTAATTACTGGCAGAAATGATAGTATTAATAATATGTCTTTATATATTTTGATATTTACCTTGAAATTTTAATTTTAATTAATTAGTTAACAGATAATGCTCTTAAAAAATGACTGGATAAATGGGGACTATTAATGGGGAAAAGATTACAGAGCTATTTTAGAAAAGATAATATGAAGCTTATTTGTAATAATAATTCAGGTTAATTCATGTAAATAATCTCTTATTAGGGTATTTTTTTATAAAATTAAAATAAATTCACAGTGTCAAATTTATTCATAGTTTTTTCCAATTTTAGGCATTTATTTATTAAAATTTAATAGTGTTTTTGCAAAGACTATTGCCCATCCCAAAGTCTTTTTTAAGCTCAAATTTCAAAATTGACAATGAAGTCTTATTAGAGTCGTGGTGGCTCAGGTGATAGAACGTTCGCCTTCCAGTGAGGTTAACCGAGTTCGAATCCCAGCAATGGCTTGTCGATACAAATCCTCACCCGGCATTCAAAGACCATAATGCTGACGTAAAATATCCTCAGTGGTAGACGGATCATGGGTTAGAGTCCCCTTGCCGTCAGACTAACCGTAGGAGTTTTTTGCGGTTTCCGTTCCATGAAGCGCAAATGTGGATTAGTTCCATCATAAAGTCCTCCACGTAGGCAAATTTTCCCCATATTTGATCCGAGAGTTTTCTTGTCTTCTGGATTGGGTTCAAAATCATAAGGCTACAAAGTTGAACATTAGTTGTCATAAACCGAAAATGGGCTCAACTGTTCAACGACGGTTATAAAATAAAATGAAAATGAAGCCTTGTTATTCTTATAACAGAATTAAAATGTGTGTGTACTTCTGAATTTTCAATAATATCTATCTTGATATTTTGATACCGGGAAAACTTATTACGAAAATGCTTCAAATCATTTATGAAAACGTATAAGTTCATTTCTAAAACGTAAAAGTTCAGTTCTAAAACGTATAAGTTCATTTGATAATATTGAATATTGAATCGTAATACTGAATCTCTTTTTACTAAATCATAATAACTTTTCAGAAAAATAATTCATTTAGATCATTAGTTAAATTTTAAAGCTTTAAACACGAGATTAATGTTCATGACCAACAAAATATTTCAAACACAAACATTAATTAGGTTAATCACACTAATTCACGTAACGTTTATCGATTTGAACTTCAAATATTTCAGAATCGATTTCACAACTACAACTTCATGCAAACACCAACAATAATAACTAAAATATAAACCGATACACTTTTACTACAAACCTTTCACAATAACCGTCTATAATAGAACAATGGGTGGAGGCGCATAAAAAAATTCGAGAGAAAGTAAAAGACCTAAATACAAGAAATATCTAGACAGTGATTAGTATATTAGCTCGTTAAGGCAAAGAATTGGGTTTTTTGATCAAAATATCTGACAAAAGCAGCGTTCCAAATACCCGAAAGACACGAAAGGTCCCGTATGTCTGACAATCAGCACTTGAGGCAACGGTAAACGGCCATTGTATATATAGTGCATAACTAACTATACTTTATTTGCTTACTTTTTGTAGTCTTGCACTTCAGACGTTCTTGAACGAAACAAATAGTTGAGATGATGAAGTTGGTAAGTGTTTAAGTTTATTACCAATGGAAGTTTAAATGAAGCATTGTTATTTAGATTTAAGAAGTTTGTTTATTTAATATTATTTGCTCTTGAAGTTTGTTATGAAAGAAGGATTAAATATGAAAAGGTCAGAAATTCAATATTTCATAATTTAATCTTGGATATGCTTTAAAGTAAAAGTTTAAAAGTTTGGAAGTGTTTATTCTTTTTATTATAACGGATTTTGTTCAAAACAAAGCATTGTAATTAAAATTTCAAAAAAACTATTTATTTGGCTCTTAAAAATGTATTTTGTATCATTTTACATCATCAGCTAACCATAGATTTAACAGATAAAAAAGAATTCTTCAAAATTCGAACATTTTCTTTAATTTAAAACTATGACGAGGAGAAATGATTCAGCATTGAATATTTAAATGACAACATGATATTCAGTTTAAAAAGGCTTTTGTTATAATATTATTTTATCTTGAAGATTATGAGTTGTAATAAATGATCAAATGGTTTAATATTTAATTTAACTATCAGTTCCTTCCAATAAATTTCTTTTTAAAAAGTCCACATTGTTTAAAAGAATGCACTCTTCCTCCCTATCGTGATTGAGAGTCAGCTTTTTCTAATCGTCCAAGCAAGCGCAATTGCTTAAAAATGCGCTATTAAGCAATTTTTTTTCGTTGTTCTACCAAATTATTATGAAGTGTGTTGAATAATTGTCACGTTTAAGAGTCACCTAAAAATTATCGAAATTCAGAAATCTTTAAGTTCTATTTTTCCAATATTTCAAATTTAAAGAAGGTAACGTACTTTCAAACTTATTTTAAAAAAAAAAAATTTTTTTTTGGCCTTCTAGCAAACATGGGCTAAGTTCATAGTGTGCTTACTTTTAATAAGATTGGGAGTACATCTTTTGATTGCTTGACAGTGCCCTAACTGCATTTCAATTTATAGTTATTTTCAGTTTCTACTGTGACATAGTAAAAATAAAACACTAATTAACTATAAGAAACTGAATACAAATCATTAAATTCAAAATGCGAATGTGTTTTAAACTTCAAAAAGAGAAAAATTAGCATTAATGTTTGCTTTTTTAAAAACTTATATTTATTATTTGCGATAATATTTTTGATTTTTGAGCGTATAAGAATGAATAATTAAGAAAAGGACTAAAATAACAATATTTTTTCAGCCCAGTTGTAATATTTTAAAGAGTTTTTTTTAAATATCACTTTAATTGCAATTTGTATTCCTTTTTTAAAAGTTGGTATTAAATATGTGTATTTTACCCATATATCTTCACAGATCTTGGTAGTTTTGTTATCTTGGATAGCTTACGTCACCTGCCAATATGATCTTTCACACCATCACGATCATGGTGGTCATGACTACCTTGAGTCAGAACATGGCGAAAAAGGCCATGGTCACCTTCAAGCCTATGAAGTGACTGATGATCAAGCTCACAAAAAGCACGGCCACCATGAGGTTGCAGCCCACAAGGCTTATGGAGACAAAGTTGCTCACCACGACAGCCACCACAAGGATCATGACAAGGGATATTATGAAAGAAATAAGGGGAAAGGATACGTAAAAGTAAAATAGACTGTTCTAAAATGTTGATGATTTGTTTCTAATCCCTAAGTGATCTAACCCAATTAGACCAATTCCTTAATTTCAAAAACTTACAGAAAGTCAAAAAGCAGAAGATGTTTTGAAAATTAACTAAAATCCAAATTAAAAATCAATGCAGTTCAACTTATCAATTCAGTTCTTAAAATTTCATCAGAACTACTCAAGCGATGCCTGAGCAGCCCTCCTGAAATTTACAGTTGTCCAACTCTTGTCTTGAACTTTGCACAAATACTAAACGTTTTCTGTCGCAGTTCAAGTAAGACATACCTCCAATGACCACTGACAAAGTCTGATATGCTAGTCTGCTGGCTTTTAAGTCCATCAAATAGCAGGGCATCATTTTATAGTTATTCAGTTCAGGTGTAAAAGAACTCAAACTTTAAGGGCTTTAAGTTTTATAAACTAAATGGTCTTATAAAATTAATAATTGTCAGCGAATTTACTTTGTAACTTGAAACAGGACTAACTTAAAAATTTTATACTTATACTTTACAGTATCGTTCTACAATATGAAAATTTCAATTAAAAAGTATTTGAAGCATAAAAACCTCACATTCTATAAGTACTGTGAATTTGAACTGAACAGTAATTTTTGCATATTATAAAAGAAGTTGATCAAAATAATACTTTGATGTCTCTCGTAACATTTGGGAAATTTTCTTGCACTGCCAAACTTTGCAGGGTTGAGGAGAAATCCTTTCACCGTCAAAACCGTTGCTGAGCAACCATAAAAATCTAGAATAGAAGGGACAAAGAATATTTATTAACTCTTCTTAGTTACAAAGAGGAATCCTACAAAATTTTCCCAGAATGTTAAATTATTTGATAAAAAATCTCCTTAAACAGCGCAATCTCTGCTCCATAACCTGAAAAGTTTTCAAATACCGAATGGAATAACAAATAACAGATTGCATTTTATTATTTAAGTCACTTATATTTTGCAATTAAACAACATTCAAAAATAAATTTTTTAAAATTGATTGAATAATTTTTCAAAACAGTGAAATTTAGTACAAATCTTTCTAAATTAAAATCTGTGTATCACAGATTCCATAAAAAAGAATTGCATTTTCTTTAATTGCGTCTGCTTAGCTTAATTAGATCAAATAATTTTTTTTATTTCTCACGCAACTCAATTAGTTGTAAAAAATATTAAATTTCAAACTTAAGATATTCAGTTCTAAAAATCAGTTCCAATTATTTTTCTTTTTTTCGTCAAGCATGAAAAGTTCGTTTTCGTGCTACCGTCCTTTTAACCTTTAATTTACTACTTTTTAGATATCTCATAAGCCTTTTAGATAGTTTCAAATAGTATGGATCACAAACGATTGTGTTATCATCTATTTATTAAATTTCAAGCTAATATAAGAGTAATAATCAAATAAATATATATGTAAATCAAAATCAAATTTCACACCGATGTATCGAATCCAATTTGTAATTTACTGATGAATGAAGATCGTAATATGACATTCCTTACTTCATTTCGCTCTCCCGCCAGAAAGTCTTATTTTGATTCTTCTTTATTACATGAGATAAACTAGGAAAGTTTTCCATGGCCATAACAAAGTTTTTATTACCCATTCGGAAAATGTGTGTGGTTCTATGTTTTTCATGCCCGCACACTTTTCGACTTGATCTACTTCAACACCATAATCTCAAATAAAGAGTTGTAAGAGTCATAAAAAATCAGGCTAACAAAAGCAATCATAAAAAAGCAGCACAAGATCAACGATAAAAACAGACGATAATTTCGGAACTTCTTGCAATTGGGTTTTTTCGGACTGAGTTTTTCTCTTTAGTTTCACCAACGTTCCTTTTTTATATTTTTACATGAACTTAATTTAAATTATTTTTATGCTTTTTTATGGTTTACTTTTTCACAATTACCGTCTTGACGGTGATTTCAACATAACTATGGATGCTAAAGAAGAAAAAGAATTCTGTTACGTCTTAAGAAACGTATATTGGCTGGGAATTGAAAATCAGTGCTACCCATTAAAAGTCAATAGGACAACAAATAATTGATGTAGTTTATGATATGATTCGAAATGTTGCGGCGTTTAGGTGTTTATAAACTCTATCCAGAAAAACAAATTTTAACCAATGAGGAATCAGTAATGCCAATAATGTGATTACGATTTTCTATCTTTTTTTTGGTATGATTATTATTATAATTAGTATTTTATCGACAAATTTAGAATAGTTTTCTTTTGCAACATGTATGCCCTATTCTGAACAAAAAATTACTAAAAAAAATATTACTTGTTTCTTAATCACTAAAATTATATAACCGAAACTCTCCTGAAATTTATAGAATTTATCTGATTCATCAATGTTTTTTTTCCTGTAGTGATCGTTGTTGTCATGACAACCACTGTATCTTATTGTAACACTTTTAATGTAGGCTTACGAATATGACCACATAAAAACTCACCATGACAAAGGTTCTTCTCATGATGCTCACGATTACCACCATGATCATTACGGTAAGGAAGGCAGTCACAAGCACGCCGATTATCTCGATGAAGGTCATGATAAATACGCAAAGAAAAGTTATGATTCTGGTCATGGATATGATAAATACGGTAAAAGCCTGGGCAAGCACGGAGGATATCATCATAGCTACGACAGCAGAGGACATCATGTTCCACTGCCCATTTTGTCTCATCACAGCTACAAGCCAGGGGTCAAAGTAGTATATTCTCCAGTCTATGCTGGACCAGAACATCTTAGTTACAGTCATTAAAAAACTCTAAAAGACGGTAATTATTGCAGTTAATTATTCTAACTTATCATTATTTTTTGCATACTGTTCCCCAAAATGTAATTTTTATATTTTTAAAATTTTCTAATTTTGTAGTTAGCACATAAAACTGCCTCTAGATAAGTTCTCTAATTTAAACTTTTGGCATCATTTGCGTTTACTGTACAGTTATTTAGCTTTTGTTTACATAATTTTATGCTTTTATGAAATGACTCTGACAAAAAAAGTATGGTCAAAACTACGGATTTTTTGCTCTATGGGAACAACAAGAAACTCAGTAATTTTAACCGAACGACTATGATAATGATTTTGGTAAAGTGTTATGTTATAACAAGTAATAAAATTTGGTAAATGTCAAAAAATTAGGTAATTTTATTATAATGTCTTAGCATGTCATAAAAACCATCTTTTTAGTAATGTATTGTTTACTACATGCGTGATAATATTCACTAAAATTATAAAAATCAGAATTATTTTTGATAAACTGCCATTAATGGACGGAAAATTTACCTAATAAATGGTTTAAATACCGTATATTTTTATTTTAATGACCAAAATTATGTTTTTCATACTGGAAATATCATTATCATAGAATACGGGAATTTTACAAGAATTTCTACCTTAAATTTCATAAATATTCTCAATTCTGAACTTAATTAAATGAAAAATTACAGATTGACCCTTAATATTCATGGATAGAGATACATTTAAAATTTTAAATCATCGTTTGTTAAAAATATTTTCTTAGTATAAATGTTTCCGCTTCGATACATTTAAATCAATATTTAAAATAAAATCAATGCATGATAAAACGTGATTAAGCAAATCCTTATGTTTAAGGAAAAAAAACTCTGTATGCCTTTATACATCACTGAAAAACCCTAAATTATTCAAAGAACTGTATATTTAAAATTTTACGACGTTCAGAGATTGGTGATACGTACAAAAATCCTTTCACTTATAAAGTTTATGATAACTGTTCAGCAAATGCAGCCTTAGAAACCCAGCTTACGTCCCAGGTTAACCTGTTCCTCCATACGCTCAATAACATTTGTTTCCATCATATTCTCTTGGACGAGTGGGGAAAAATTGATTATCCTTAGGATGTGTACCAGGTTCCCAAGAGCATGCATTTAACATTTAATTATATGCATCAAAACTTGGTGAGTATATGTATCTTTGCATGCACAACCGTCTTTGTGCGTTGTAAAAGTTCTAAATAAACAATCCTTTACATCCTGTGAGTCATTTAGGCTTACACTCTGAAGCAATTTATGTTCTCAGCTTTAGTAATAAATATTTTGTAGTCAATTTCTAAAATAGTTTAATCATCAACTTGATGTTTGAATTTACTAATTTTGGTTATATTTATATTTTACAAAAAAAACTTTAAATCTAAATCTGTGTCTTCTTTTTAGGTACAAACTGTTTGCCAACAACAGTCATTTCGATGACGTAGCATTGTAGATACAAGTTAACTTTGTCATGGAGTGGAAACAACAGTTTACATCAGCTGTAATATTTATAGTGGATGTAAATTAAGTCCTAGATTGTTCAGATTTAAATCATTTTTGACTTTGTAAATAAAGAGTATATTTTGTTACAGCTGAGTTTCTTATTTATTTCAAGTTCTTTGCAAAGTTTTGATGCGTCATCTGTAAAAAAATATGCATAGAATATATATAATTCAATCGTTTGATCAAACAAAAACTTGGCCATGATTATATACATTTCTCAAAAGAAGCATAAGCTTGGTTAGTTTTATGTCTGTTGTGAAAATGCAATCGAACGACAAATAATCGAAGTGGGTTTTGAAGAAATTAGAAGATTCACAACATTGCAAATTACGAATAAGTACGATTTAAATTCAGAAACAAAGATATATCGAAGAACAATTTGAAATGAATTTATTCTGTTGGGCTTGAAAGTTGATTAAGCACCAAATATCAAATTTTTTGACAAGTCATTGGAAAATATATATTTACTTCTTTCCAACCTAATAATTTCGTTTCGTCATACAATCTTTTTATCAAGCAATCTTTTCATCCTCATGCATTCTTATATATTCCTCCTAAATTTTATTTCCAAATATTTTTTTTAATTTCCCCAGCAACCAACACTGCACGAAAAAAACTGAAAAGTTTTTGAGAATGTTTCGAAATTTCGGCTTATCAAGCAGGTTTGACTAGAGTGATTGCTTTTTTCTTTCAAAATCTCAAAAATAACTAATGGAAAACAAGAATGACTTGAAAAACGCATGCATATCGTTTAGTAAAGACACAAAAATATAAGTTCAAATATATCTTGCTACAGAAACATGAGGTAAGTTTATCTATATTATACAGAAAAACAGATTTCACATAGTAAGGATTAAAAAAAAAGCTTTAAAAGAGATAATTTAATTTATATACTTTGTATACTTATAAACGAAACTCTTGAGAATTTTCTTGTATTACTATTAATTTGATAGGCGAAATGTGACTGAATAACAAAGAATCAGCTAAAAGAGAATTATAGGAAAATTTCTTTCTTTAAATCATTCACATTAAAATATAGAAATTTCAAAAATTTCATATTAACTGAAAAAAATCTTCTGAATTTAAATAATCCATGAAATATTGGAAGCTTTCAACATTGAACTGCAATGTGTAAAATCAACTCAATAATTACACAAATGTAACTCATGTCTATTTGAACTCAAAACTGAAATTAAGACCGACAGGAAAAAATTTGCTTGCAAAACCATTTCATTGCTAGCTTGTTTGTGGAATGAGTAAAATATCCCTAATTACCAAAATTTTATACAATAGTGATAATTTCTACCCTACAATTATAGGAAGAGACACTTTTCAGTTTTTGTCATCGTTTAAAATTTCTTAAGATTTTCTTAAAGAATAATTTTAGTACTTCAGATGTGTTTAAATCATGCGATTTCTTAAAATTATCAATTAAATTTAAAGCTTCCAGAGGCTTAAGGAACCGGTTATAAATTACGAATGAAAAATATTGTTTCTGAACATCCTATGCCAAAAAAAATAGCAATAGGATTGTAACTGGCACCAATTACTTTGGTTATTGCAAGCAATAACTGGATAAAATTGCGCAAAACTAGCTTAAAAATTTATGGAAATTTTTTAAAAAGCACAAAAGCTGCTTAGAAATTTGCTAGGAACTTTTTTCACATTCAAGATATTCAAATCGAATATTTTTAAAAAGTTGGCAAAAACGATGCACAAAAAAAATATGAAAACATTTTATTAAATATTTTCATGCATGTGCCGTATGAAAAAACTATTTTAAATGCTTATTTCTTGCGTATTTTTAAGGAACTATTTATATTATTAACTAAATTTTGTTCCAAAAATTTTGTTTAATTTTATAGAATATTTCTGCACTTATAGAAAGAAAAATTAGTCTAATTTCAATAAAATTAGCCTTTTTTTAAAAAATGTCAGTATCTCTATAAATATTTTATACAGTTATTGCATGTAATAACCTAAGTTATCAAAACAACTTACAAGCTTATTATGCTTTCTGGCATAGGGTATCAAAAAACACTGTTTTTTTCGCAATTTATTGAGATCCCTTAAAACTCTGAAAGCTTCAAACTTTATTAATAAGAATAATAATTCCCTTGACCTTAGCACCTCTAAAGTTAAAAAGAATTCTCTAAGTATTTCACCTATTATGAAGATTTGAAAAAAATGCAAAAATCTAAAAGTGTCAGTTTCACTGTCGGCTGCTTTAAATTATGTAGTGTAAAAAAGCAGTCTAGGTGTTTCTTCTAGGTGTGCATTCTAGGTGTTTTAGGACACTTAGTGGAACACCACTTAAGTGTAAAGTGGAGTGGTAGCCACTTTAGGTGTCCAGATATATGAATATTTTTTTACAGTGCAGCCCCTTAAAAGTATTCCCAATGGTGAAATACTTATCCAATTTGGTGTTTAAAAACTCCAAAAATTGTGTAAATGAATACTTTAAATCAAGTTAATACCAAATAGAGTGCCCATGTACTTTTTAAATGGTGTAGTTCAATCTAAACTCCAATATTTGAGAAAGCTCTATTTACTTTATTGATGAATTATTTTCGTCAGTTTCGTGGTGTGTTTGGATACCGTTAGATGATAATAGCAGATTGTTTACGCTTGAGCACGAGAAGGAAAAAATTTGTTGTTGCTGGCGAACATTCCACGAAAACAGAAATTAGATGTTATGAAAAGATTTTTGTGTTCGTAGTTAGCTACTTTGAATTCATCTTGATATTCTCTTTGTACTATATTGAAAAAAATGTGGTGTAATATCTCTCCGAATATAGTCTTAAACAATCCAAAACAATGGGTTAAGGAACATTTTATTCCAAGTTAACTCTAAATTAAACGTTTATAAGAAATAGTTTAAATCTAAACACTTAAATTCAAATAATCTTACACCAAACTCAAGGCTTTTACTCCATACGAAACTTATTTCCATCGTTGGCGATATCAAAAGTTCAAGAAACGTCTAGTAGAATATTAGAAATTGTTAACAATCGTGAAAGTGCTGCTGGCGAGAGTTAGTTTGTGCTTTCAACACTGGTGTTCATCAACAAAAACAAAAATTCGTGTTTAAATACGTATTTATGTTTTTAGTTTTGTAATAAGGATAATTATAATTTAATTAGAAAATCTCTGAGAACTGTATTAAAGGATTTTATAGTATATAATTTGTATCCTTTTCCGTTTTAATAAGCCTAGTTTGAATTCGTCTCAATGTTTTCTTCGTGCTGCGCGTATGTTTGATTTACAAACTAATTTTATTTCAAGAATTAGTGTATGTCAGCAACTTATGTTACTGATTCTTACTTCATACCGCATGAAAAAATTAACCTTACTGACTTTTTTTATATCTTACCTTATTGTAATTATAAATTTTAGTGTTACTAAACAACAAAAATGGCGATGACTACTTTACACCAAGTAGTTTAAAAGAGCATTGGTGCGATGACATCTAAGAGTTATGCCACGATTCATTACACATATACAATACACCACGCGTAAAGTAGTTGCCACCATTTTTGGCTTTGACATGCACGTTAAAATTTCGCACAGTTTATGCACATGTTCGATTAACCAATTCATATTATTTTAAAAATTAGTGCCATGCATTCATCCTAAATTAATGATTCATTTTTATCACATTGTAAAAATAACTTAACGAACTCTTGTGTGGATAACATTTTACTGTAATTATATATATCCGCGTTACCTACTGAATGTAAAAAAATGACGGTAGCTATTTTACACCAAGAAGTGCAAAAGAACATTCTTGCTGTTTTACTACACCAGGAAGTACCTTGGCTCTTGGAGAAGTGAAATATCAAGAACCAAGAGTTATGAATGAGGTTTTATTTTACTTTAGTGTGAAGTAGTTGCCGCCACTTTTGGTATTGAGGTACAAAACATTTTTTACTGAGCTCAAATTGTTCTCTCTTTTATTGTAATAGCTTGATTGATTAAAATCTGTGTTAAGTCAAGATTTACTACAACTATCAAATTTTTCGATGAAGTTGCATTTTAACGCACATCTTTAAGTGTTTTCTTGTTTTTTTAATTCCTGTCATGTACCTAAGTTATGTGTCATAACTCCCCTATACTGCCATAAAAACTGTCGTCGTTTATTATAGCTATTCTGACCTGATATTAAGGTCCAAAGATAAATATTTGTCATAAACGATCAATTAATTCTCAGGGAAACTCATTTAAAATTAAATGGAGTTTATTATTCAGAATAAAGTTAAAAAGGGAACAGAATTGCCTGTAGCTTAAATGAAATGATGGGTAATGCTAATCCTATGACAAAAAAAAATATTTTTCGCTTATCCGACCTGAAACGTTTTATTTTAAATATTAGAATGATATTTACGATTGCAGACTTAAATTATCTTCTGGAGTGATAAGAGTGTTACACAAGAATAGATTCCCTTACTTTTATTAGTGATAATATTATTCTACAATGTTTAATATTTTACATCAATCAAACATATTCGTCGTTCATAAAATTATAATTTTTGTATTGTTCATGCGCAATATGAAGTGATTTCTTTTGCTCTACTCGGTACCAGTTCCGTGGAGTCAGCTGTTAAAATGCTAGACTCCGACTCTTAACTTACTTCAGGCTTCGACTCGATTAAATATAATGACTAAATATGTGCAATATGAAGTGATTTCTTTTCCTCTACTCTACCAGTGCTATAAAGTCAGTTGTTGAAATATTAGACTCCGACTCCTAACTTTCTTCAGACTTCAACTCGATTAAATATTTCATTTAAAATTTTCTGCAAATTCCAGGAAAGTGTTAATATTATTTTTAAGTAATTTCTATTCTTAGATTATATAATTCGATTTATATACATTTAGAGTGATGGTCACTTAATATTTTGTATTATTTTAAAAAATAATTTTTAATAAATTTATTTGTATAAAATACTGAAATTGGGCAAAACCATTATTAGTAAGAAACTAAATATCAGTACTTCACACGCACCATCGCATGCATATAAACACATTAGGACAAAATAGGGAATATTTATAAACTAGAAAACTGTTACAAATCATTAAAAACATTAT